ATGACAGCTTTGTCAGCTATGATTCATAAGTTACTAGAAACTTCTAATTTATCTAACTAAAGATTTTGATGTTGCACTATTAATTCTGTTTTTGTTTGTTTTTTGCTAGCAAGATATCCTGCAGGAATTACTCATTTCCTCTCTTAGTGCCTGACTTACCACAGTCATCTGATATTACTATCTTGAATGAACAAGGCACCTCATCTCTTTTAGAGGATAAATGACTGAACAACAACTGTGACAAGCTTTCTATGTTTTACCTATTACACAATTGCCATTCAAGAAATGTTAAATGACGGCTGTAATTTAACAAATTAACAGTGAAAACCAAGGATTAGAAATGACTCTCCAAAAATTATATTGTCCTACTGCATGGTTCTAGTTTGTACTTACTTTAACCATGTAAGACAAACAAACGTTTCTTGTATTCTTACCTATGATCTAGAGAAAATATTCCATAATATGACTTCATTTTCTTTTTGTTCCTCACACAGTTAGGAACTTTCCTTTATTTATTATTTCTTGAGTACATTTGAAAGGAAAGGAACTGACCTTATGTGCCCCTTAGAATCTTGCTTGCAATAATTAAATTTTTTTCCTTTGATTTCTTTTATTTGTAGCTATGCATAGAGTTAAAAACAAAACAAGTAAAATGTTCCTCTGCCCTTCTAGACAAATTAATTTTTTTTCTTTCCCCCTGCTTTATCAATTCTCTGATTGTTAGCTCGGAAAATATCATGGGATATAAATAGGTAAGTCTTACTTCAAAACAGCTTGACTAATGCTAATAACACAATTCCCCTAAACTCTTTTCAAGAAATGTAAGTAATATGAGCTGGTTCTTACTTTAAGGTTGGTTGAAGAGATCAAACAGAAATGTGGTGGGCTTCAGTTACAGAATGAAGACGTTTATATGGCCACGAAATTTGAAGACTTCATCCAAAAGGTTGTGAGGAAACTGAGGGGAGAAGACCAGAAAGCAGAGCTGGTAGTAGATTATGTAAGCCTTTCCTTTGGTGTTTAAAATTTGAATCATTAAGATCTATACACTATAAAAGAAACCAAGATCTTTATCCATTTGGTTTTACTTTTTTATTTTTTTTCTTACTTTTTAAAAATAATAGTTCTGTTGTAATTATTTTCTCCCATTCTTTGGGTTGTCTTTTCACTTTCTTGGTAGTATCTTTGATACACAGAAGTTTTAAATTTTGATGAAGTCCACCTTATCCTTTTTTCTTTTGCTGCTTGTACTTTTGGTGTCACATCTAACAAACCATTGCCTAATCCAAGATCATGAAGATTACTAATATGTTTTCTTCTAACGGTTTTATAGTTTAGCTGTTATAGATATATCTCTGATCCATTGTGAGTTAAATTTTTCTATGTGGTGTGAAGTAGTGGTTAAATTTCTTTCTTTTGC